AATGGTGAAAAATAATAATAATAAAAGATACACCATATATATTTACATAACTGATTATGAAAATGGGATATTGATTTCCAGAAAAAGATCAACTTAATTTTTAGAGGGGGTTATAATTCAATTACCCAGGTATGTATTCGCGTATATATTCTATTGTATTTACACCGAGATATGCATTTTTCTCCTAAATTAATCAAAGATCTAAGAAACAAAAATTAATTTTCATCTTACAGAATCTTTCAATGATCTGAAATCTTTCTAACATTCGTACAAAGAGATAATTCTAGTACAGCTGTTTTCTACGTACCTTCTCTGTGAACTTTTGCACTTTGTGACAAAGACAATATTAAATTCCTCCATCGGAAACATATCTTTAAATTTTCATCGAAAACATTAGAACTATGTATATCAAACGTCACTGTCTGTTTTTCTCTTGTCCTTTTTCCATTGTACGATCGTTGACAGATGGGATAATAATACACTGTAAGAAAACACGACACGTCGTGTGCTTTTGATTTTCGACATTTACATCCAATCACATCACCAAAGTGTATGTAATGATTTTCGTCAAATTCATTTCTTGTATTTTTATATGAGATCCACTTCTGAGTAAGTTCCACTGCATATTTTGATTTTTTGAAAGGAAACAACGAGAATTCTTCCTTCAGAAGCACTTCGCACTTCCTCGCCATTTTGCATGATCATGTGATAGGTCACGTGATAGCATGTTTCTCAGAGAGAGAGAGAGATTGGCGCTGTTTGTCTTATACATCTATTTAGCTATTGAGTGAGTACGGAAGCGTATTAGGACTGCACCAGTATCTTTTATCAATTTGTTTTAACACAATATAATTAGTAATTTGTTTTACAAATTAGATTTTTTTTTTACCAAATTAGTTACCGATATTTGTTTTATGCTTAAAAAGTAGTAATTTGTTAACAAATAAACTATAACTTTTTTTCTCTATGTACTTTCATCTGTCTCTCTGTCTGTTTGTCCGCAAAAACGTTAATAATATTGCCTTCAACTTTTGCTTGCATGGTTAGAGCTATTTAATTTATTATGGCACGCCAAATTCACAAAAATGAGCTAAACATAGTTTCACAGTCGAAAAACTAGGTTTATCGGTTGTAAACTATAGTTAACAACGTTAATCTATATTTCACATCTGTAAACCATAGTTAACGCGATAATCTATGTTTCACAACCGCAAACTATACTTAACACTGAAAACAATCATTTGCGATTGCAAAACATAGATTATCTGATAAATACAGTTTCACGATTTGTAAACTATAGTAAACTATAGTTTACAAACCGTTAACTATAGTTAACGATCTGATAAATATAGTTTCACGATTTGTGAAACTATGATTTACAACTTTTAACTATAGTTTACGATTGTAAACTATAGTTTACAAACGTGAATCTATGTTTATCAACAAAATCTATTGTTAACGCTTATTACAGACAGATAAACTTAGATTAGCATTCGTAAACTATAGTTAACAACCGTTAATTATAGTTTTACAGATGAAAACTATACTTAACGAATCGTTAACTATACTTAACGAATCGTTAACTATAGTTTACGGTTTGTAAACTATAGTTTACAGTCGATAAACCTAGTTTATCAAATGTGAAACTAGGTTTATCTCATTTTTGTGAATTTGGCGTGCCATAATTTATGACTCATATTTCACATTCATGTGTATTCCTTGTGACAAGGACTTTCTTAACTTATTGGAACTCTTGGCCTTGACCTTTTTGATCCAATTTTCAAAAAGATACCGAACTTTAACCTTAGATATAACCTTTGAACAATTGGTGCTAAGGCTTTCATATGCCACATGTGTATTTATTGTGGTTAGACCTTTCCATGGATACAAATATTTATACCTTGACCTTTGAGTAAAACCCACTTTGATCTTTTGATCTTTGACAATCGCGTGACTTTTGATCAGTTAGTACCTGGACCTTCATACTGATTTTACAGGTACATATTCCATGTGACAAGGCATTCCTTTGATATACAAAAAAAAAATGACCTTGACCTTAGAGTTAAGTCTTCTTTTGAGAAACTTTAACCTTGGCCATCAATGTTGAACAGTTGGTGCAAGGGCACATATGTATATTCATTAAGAACAAGTTCAGTCTTAACAACAATTCTCACCCCTTAAAGAATTTAACTGAGAAACTTTAACCTTCGCGAAATCTGTCCTACGGGAGCATCTGACAGTATTTCACAGACAGATCTTGTTTGATATGGTTTTCTATGTAAACCCCCTCCCCCCCCCCCACCCACCCACACACACAATACTTTTTTATTGCTCTTCAGTCGAACTGTCATGTTGTGTGTGTTTTTTTTTTATTTACCGAGTGGCAGTAAAATACAAAATTTTCCTGACAAGTGACATCTAACAACTTTAATATTACCGAAGAAAGTTCAAAATCACTCTCCCCTCACCTATAAAATATGATGTTCAAGTTTAATTGTACGTTTTTGGTGCTTTAACTCTGAGCCCCCCCCCCCCCTTTGCAGTCCAGTTGCAAAAACGTTGATAAACGCTAAAGTAAGATTTTCAAAATGAGTTTAGGCATTAAATAGCACATTTTTCTGATTCAATCTAAGGCTAGGTACGAAAGCCTATTAGGATCAATCTAGAGAGAAAAAAAATTTAAAAGGCGTAACAACGCGAAAAAAGGCATTATAACGCCTTTTGAAAAGGCATTATTACGCCTTTCCATTCCAAAAGGCGTTATTACGCCTTTTTAAAAGGCGTTATAACGCCTTTCAAGAAGGCGTTATTACGCCTTTCCATTCTAGAAGGCGTAATTACGCCTTTCCAGAAGGCGTTATTATGCCTTTCCAAAAGGCGTTATTACGCCTTTCCAATGCATAACTAAACATATTTAGCCCAACCGAGGGGGGGGGAGGGGTATGCAGAAATCGTACCTTTGGGACATGAATTTCACAATTAGATATAGGACTAATTTCTCAAAAAATAATTTAAACAGATAGCAATTAGATTTCCAGGAAAAAAGATTTTTAAATGCGTCATATATTTTCAATGTTGAACCAACCAACTAAGTCCTTCTTTCATACCAGGCACACCTCTACCAAGGGTCATTGATTTCAATTGCTCATTATACCCATGCAAATAGTTGCCTGCTTTTTTCCAAGAAGAGAGAAAAATATCTTCAAATGACATAAATTTTAATACACTGTACATGGCAAGCAAAGCTCCAAAATAAGTCTGCCTATATTCTAGATCTTCACAAGTAGAGTGTTGCCTTCTCTTAATACGAATGCAAACAGTTGTCAGTGAGATGTGCAGGAATATAGAGAATTGCATAAATAAATACGGTTATAATTAAATCTTTCTATATTTATTAACATAAGATAGCGCCTTTTCCTTTTCCTTTTCATGTATAGGCCAGTAATACGAGTGCGAATGGGGTAAACCCCCTCCAAACATACACACTTTTGAGGAAAAGTCTTGCTACAGTTTAAATATTATAGTTAAGTATTGGTTTCTTGGTTCCTGAACATTTTGTTGCAGTATGTAAAACTGTGACAAATTATTGCATTTAAATAGATTTTTACCGAGTATTTCCCCCACGAATTTGGCCAGTGGAGTGTGTGTGTGTGTGTGTGGGGGGGGGGGGGGGGGGCTATCAAAAGCACGGGCCTGTTAAATGCAAAATAATGGTTATTCAAAAAGCATAATAACTTTTTTGGAAAGGCATAATAACGCCTTTTAGAAAGGCGTAATAACGCTTTTTAGAAAGGCGTAATAACACCTTTTAGAAAGGCGTAATAACGCCTTTTAGGAAGGCGTAATAACGCCTTTTAGAAAGGCGTAATAACGCCTTTTGGAAAGGCGTAATAACGCCTTCTAGAATGGAAAGGCGTAATAACGCCTTTTAGAAAGGCGTAATAACGCCTTTTGGAAAGGCGTAATAACGCCTTCTAGAATGGAAAGGCGTAATAACGCCTTTTAAAAAGGCATTATAACGCCTTTTGGAATGGAAAGGCGTAATAACGCCTTTTTTCGCGTTATTACGCCTTTTCAAAAGGCGTTATAACGCCTTTTGAATTTTTTTTCTCTCTAGATTGATTCTAATAGGCTTTCGTAGCTAGGAATCTACATGGTCGTACCTGATGTGCTGATTAATTTTGACAATTTGGTCAATACGCTAATTGAAATAAGTTTTTAAAGTCCAGCATTTAGATGAACAACACACAATATTAGAGAAAATAAAAGAACAGGATTTTTATTACCAAATCAGGGCTCAGTTAGCATGAACATATAACATATCGTGTGGTAGATAATTACAGATAAAATATCAGACAGAATACATGTATACTGAAGAGCAGTTCGTTCACTTGGCACATTGACTGTGTTTTTAAGTTTCATAATTATATAGACACGGGTTTTAAAAGATCTGCATTTTTAAAAAAATAACACAGCTTAATGTGCGTTATTATTATTATTAATACTGTATATACATGCATATATCTGAACATATAAGATATGTCTGACATCAACAAGAGGCCATGACTTCTTGAAAGAGTCGGTGCTAAAGAATACTATATCAGTAGAAATCCATTTCTACTTCATGTAGAATATATCAAGAAAGCGGAACAAATCAAATTGTTGGCATAAAAACTTTCATTGTGTCCCATATTTATTTATTATAATTATTGTTATTTTTTTTTGGGGGGGGGGTGCATTTTTGTCTAAATGATTGATGTTGCTTTATTGATGGTTGATACAGACATAATATTAAAAACCATGTTTTTTATATGTCTCTGGTTAATTTTAAAAATGACATAAAGGTCAACATTTTATTAAGTTTGTTTTCCTCTTTTAAAATTTGAAATAGAAAAATATTTTTAATTAAAATTTAATTCCACGAAAGGTAAGAAATGAAATAGAAAATTTCAAGAAAAGAAATAGAAAACTTTTTTTTTGCTCGGGCTCGACATTGCGAAAATTGTCCTGTAACTTCCTTTTCCGTCAATTGTCAAAATGGTGAGCGTGAAACATATATAATGTTGAATTATCCGTGGACATCGGTTCTAATCCATGATATATATTTATTTTACAAAATTAAATGATATCACAAATGAATATTCTTTTGAACTCTTTCCATTTTAGGGCATTGACATCTGCCATAAAAATAAGAGGAAGGTGGTTCGGAAGGAACCCAGAAGCCAAGATATTTATCTTCGGCTCCTAGTTAAGGTAATTTTACTTGTGGCAGGGATGAGGAGTGACCTTTGTTTCAGATACAGTCTGCATTAAAATCGATCATGAAATTCGTTGTAGAAAGCGATACTTTTCAGTATGATGGCCTCGAATTGCATGTAAACATGTAGGAACTGACCACCACCCCCCTTTTCAATGCATACATGTATCTTTGCATGTGCAACCAACTGTGTTGATAGTGTTAATTTTCTTGTACTTCAAATGAACAGTATATGCTAGTCACGCGAATGTGTGTAAAATTAAAAAAGTTGAACGCTATTATTTGAAAATAGCACACTAAGCACAGTCAAAAAATTCAACTGTAGTGTTTATCTTTTTCAGTTGTACAGGTTTTTAGCCAGAAGAACTAATGCCAAGTTCAACAAAATCATCCTGAAACGGCTCTTTATGAGCAAAAACAACAGGCCACCACTATCTATTGCCAGATTAGTAAGTTATAATGAAGTTATATATATATATAATATGTTGACAGTGCGATCATTAGGGCGAGCGCAGATACTTATCCAGTTTTCATTTAGATCGGACTTGTCAAACCACACGTGTCATTCAGTGCATATAAGACTCTGACGTCACATGACGTCGTTTGCATGTTGCTTTACTAAACCGAAGCCTGAACAGGGCTGATTTCAATCGTTTATATTTATTTTTCTGCAATAAACAGATAAATTCATTAAATCAAGGCAAGTTTATTTTTCTTTTAACTTTTGTCATTATTCTCGCGAGAATGTGGCTTTAGCGTTTGTGTACGAAGCGATGCATTGTGGGTCAAAATTACTGCGGAAAAAATTCTATGGAATGAATGTGCAGTAGTCTGAATTTTCTCTTCACCCAGGCATTTGTTATAGCTCGCAGTTACATCGTCGCTTTGCGATGCTCGCTGCGCTCGCTATTAAATATATCTTAAATAAATACTATGTTCACCTGTATGCATGTATACAGGTTGAGACCACTCACCTGTGGAGATGTAAAGGAGATGCCTGATGGGCAGACTTAGCATGCAGATAGACCATACCTTCAGATATATATAAGTCATGTTCAGATTGTGAGAATTTAGTACTTAGAATAAAGTTCTCTTGATTGATATTTATGAAATCATGATAAACAAAACTGATTCGAGGAAAATGTTTTCTTTAAAAATTCATACTTTTATAAAAAAAACCAGTAATGATGATGTGGTTTTCATCGTGGTAGAACCCTAGCAATGAAAAAAATCCTGAGTCGTATTTTCTTTTGAGACTAGCACCCTAACCACTACATTACAGACTTGTCGAAATCTGTCGGTTCTGTCGGCAAGGCCGGTAAAAATTTGTCTGGACCGATAACATTTATGACCGTTTGAAAAAAAATGAGCGTAATGCAAATTTAATAAAGGTCGGGATCGGGATGCGTAGTTCAAGGTCACAAACACAGAAAAGAATGGCCGCGTATGCAGCATGTTTACGCTAGCTAAGTAAATTTGTTATTGCAAAGTCATACAACTTGTAAATTATGTCTATGTTAATGACTCTCTATCTCAAGAGAGGAAACTTGTTAGATTGAAGGCTATTGAAGATAATAAAGGACATTTTGGTGCTGTTATTCATATGATTTTACCACCTTCGAAATAACGTACAAGTATCTGGTCTGACAAAAGTTGGACTGGTCCGACAAAACATTCGAGTGTGTCAGACCAAATGTCTGACAGCGATTAAAAAATTTCGACAAGTCTGCATTACAGAAGTCCTAATTAATAATGGCTTTAAAATCTTGTTTGTGAAATAACCCTTGTCTTGGACTTCAATTATTTCTTGAAAAGATATGAAAGTTGTATCCTAAAATTATATTTTTAAGGTATAGTGGGTCTTTGATCCATAATTTTGGTAACCAAATGTGTATGTTTTTTGTAACTTTTGAGGATTAACTTTGAAAAAAAAAATGGAGTGGAAGACCCACTCATCGAAAAATAGTGTCATTATGTGAGAAAATGACTCTTTTTACCCTCTTTTTTGTGTGTATTATTTTGGCAATAAATATCCTAAATCTGCATCAAAATGATTAAAAAGGAATAAATTTAGACAAAGCTGTTTTTCTACAACCCTAGATTGATCCCCAAAAAAGTTAAGGAACTTCTGTCGAGGGATCAATCTCCAAAACAATGGGCATACAGAAAAAACTTGTCAACCAATAGTTATTCTAATACTAATTCAAGAAAATGTATATGTCACAATTAAAAAAGAAAAAAAAGTAAAGGTGTTACAGTTTAAAATAAAATTGTTTTATTTAAAGGTTCGTTTGATGAAGAAATCTGGCAGAGACAACAAGACCGCTGTGGTTGTCGGAACCGTCACTGATGACCTGAGACTTATGGAAGTTCCCAAGCTCAAGGTCAGTTGTCTTTTAGGTCACCCGAGTCACTCATGTGACCTGTTGCTATTTGTTTGGCCGTCATTGTGTGATATGCATTTTTCAGCTTCTTCTGTGGAAGCGCTTCACCAAATTCAACCAATTTTTATATAAAGCATCTTTGGGTGAAGGGGGGCATTAATAATAAAATTTATGACCCTTGCCCCCTGGGGCCGGAAAAATTGGACTAAGAACACAAAAAATAAATGCGATCTTTGAAAAATATTCTTCTGGATTCCTGGACTCCTTGTGTTTGATTATGATGAGCAAAGGAGCCTCTTACAGAATTGTGAATTTTAAGGCCCCAGGGTCATTGGCACAGTAGAATGCTTTTCCTCTGCTCCTTGGTATTAAAGAAACAAACTAATTGTGTAGTTATGAGCAAGTTTGCCCCTTCTAAAAATTTGAAATGTGTAGCCCCAGGGTCAAGGGTTACTGTGGGTGGGGCTATACTGATTAGATAGTGAAGGTGCATTAATTAATTTGATTATTCTCTGCTCTGCTACTTGGTATTAAGTAAACAAACTAAATGTATGGTTATATTGAGCAAGGGTGCCTCTTTCCAAATTATAAATTTCATGGCCTCTGGTTTAAAACCTGAACCCGATTCAAAAGTTGTTACAAAATACTCAGGTGACCTGAAAGGCACGTTGGTCTCTTGTCTTTTATTGTTTTCTTTCATGACAAATATTTTACTTAAAAACAATATCAATCAGAATGTCATTTCATAAATTGTTTGATTCAATGTAAATCTTAATCATCACAGTATCAGATCTGGAATTTAAAATGTGCTAATGGGAAAAAAACTTTAAAGTAAAACTTTTAAGCACTAAAAAGAATATTATTAGATTTGTTACAGTGAATGAGCATATTTTTAAATTTTGATATTTATTTCCTTTAGCTATGTGCTCTCAATGTGACAGAGAGAGCCAGGGCTCGTATCCTGAAGGCCGGGGGACAGATCATCACATTCGATCAGTTGGCCCTTAAGTCACCTAAAGGACAGAACACTGTTCTGATGCAAGGTTAGAAAAGTAGAAATTGCATGGAATTAAAGTATGCTGTTTTATTGTTATGGTGTAATTTCATCTGCTTTGGAGTTTGTGAAATGCCATTAACTATAAAAAAAAAAGCTATTAATTGGATCGCTTATCATAATAGAGAAAGAATAGACATAGTCTCAATATATATGATGTATTGTTTTAAAAACACATTTCTTTTGTGTGTGTGTGTACAAGTGTAAAAAATCTATTCATAGGGTTTCTTTTATCCGTGAGTTTATTCACAGAGAATATTAAGATTTAAAATTTGTTTTGGTACTTGAATCCCCAAAAAATCAGAGTACTGTTGAATAATGTGTCATGTTATAAGAATGATGACATATTATGCAGTTGTAATGATCTAATGGAAGCAAAGCCTAACCTACAAAAGATGTAATTTTAATAATTTGTATTCAGAAAACTAATGGTAGTGCTGAATATCTTGTTGTTAAGTGTTGTTGGTGATATTTACTTGATTTTTGTTGCTTTGATATTTATTTTGAAATTAAAATAATATGACTGTACTTTGTAGGACCCAGGAAGTCGCGTGAAGCCTACAGACACTTTGGCAGAGCCCCAGGTGTCCCACACAGTAGCACTGCGTAAGTTTTCTCAATGTCTGAAGAAATAGGTGAACCCTAATTTAAGGCAAAAACTGTCGGAGTATATCGATAGTGTGTGGTATTGCTGATTTAGATGGATCTAAGCGAAAGTCTGTAATGTGTAATGCCTGAAGATATAGAACCTGAATTAACTATGAAATGGGCCGTACATATTGCAAATTCAAATGCTTCAAAAATGTACTTTATTGCATTGGATTTGAAAGATACATGTATAATAGGGCTTTTTAATGATAAAATCTAAATATATATGTTTGTATTTCTTCAAGAATGGAATTTGGATATAATTATTGAAGTTAGTCCAGAGAAGTTCAAGATAACCAGGCCTTGAAGGCGGGAAATACTTTTGAAAAGAAATATAAAAAAATATCATTTCCATCTTTTTGTGCAAACACACACAAAGAATCTTGTTTGTTTTAACAACTTACTGTGGTTATATTATACAACTCTTCTATGATGAAAACTGGAATTACCAATTGATAAAATTGTGAAAATATCAAAGCGGCAAATTATTTTCTGAGAAGAGCTCCTTCCCACCTTGCACATACTAGATTTTATCAATGTTGATAAAGTAAATTAAAAAAAATTTAACTAAAAGTAGGAAAGATTTCCCATTTTGTAGAAATACATGTTTGTCTTCTAGGTGTAAGAAGAAATTCCTAAGCAACCATAATTAATATCATTTTCATGAACAAAAGCTTAGGTTTTCAAGACTGCATCCTAGTGCAATTTTCTAAAGAAGTGTAAATATTGCTGTCCTTTTGCAGGCCCTATGTACGTTCAAAGGGAAGGAAGTTCGAAAAGGGAAGAGGAAGAAGAGCCAGCAGAGGTTTCAAGGTGTAATAAATCAGACTCCCACAATAAAGTGTATGACAGTCAAAACTGGTGTCTTTGTTGTTTATCTGGTGGGTTAACACTGGACAATTATCGAGGTTATTAACAGGATCAGAAGTACTTAGTGTTTGGATCTTTTTATTCCCCAGGGAAATCAATTTCATTTTCTAATGTTTTATAATATATACACGTACAGGAAAAATAATCCTGTCAAATACTTAGGGTAAAGGTCACTTGCACCAGTTTTTGATGGAGACTCCGAAATTTAGTCAAAGGTAATGGAAGCTGTGAGACAGCTGTTTTAGAGCCCTGCAAGTGTTTGTGGAGGCCCTATAATAATCTACTATTTCTTCAGTTTTTTCCTAACAACTCAATGGTTGTCTTTTGATAGTTAAAAAGGCAGCAAGACTTATTTTAATATATTTGATTCTTTATGTTAGCTGGGTGGTGGGATTCCTGACTTTTAACCCTTATCCAGCCAAGATAGTTTTGGGTTATCAGCGCAGCTGCTGCCGCGAAAGTTCAGTGTAAACAAACCAGTCAAAGAGAATGCAGAAAACAATTTCTTATCTGCCTGTATTATCTTTATTTTTCCAATTACATAAATGTAACCTACAGAAAACTTGTACAGCATAAATTTCACTATCTTTCGATATAATTTTTATAACTATATTTTTTATATTCATAAGAATACATGCACACTATAAAGACAACTCAAGGAAGATTTGTTTATTAATAAATAAAGCTATGGATGATATTTATTCAGTGTGTGTGTGTTAAACCTCAGCATCACTATTCTCTTCATTAATAGATTCTTCATTAGGGCCCCGCAAGGATTTGCGGGTGCCCTATGGTAATCACTCTGTCTGTCCGTCTGTCTTTCTTCCGTCCACAAATTTCCTGTTTTTTCTTAATAACTTTTTTTATGGTTGCCCAATTAAGATCAAATTTGGTATGGTAGTTCAATAGGCAGAAAGACATATTTTGATGCTAAGTTTGTTTCTCTATGTCCCTTGGTTTGGAGCTGGGGTGGTGGGGTATATTCCTTAACTTTATATAAGAATGCTTTGGCAAAGAGAGATAACTGCTGAAGATGTTTCCATTGTAAACTGAATGCTTCAATGAGTCCCTTGGGATTAATTAGCTTTCCTCCTGAAGAAAATCCAAAGCATTATCTTTATCTGTCACATTGAGATTAATTACCACCTCTGTCTGCAAATGAAGTTTGTTTTGAAGTTCAGTCAATTTGGAATGCTATGAACACTCTGAAATGTGGATTTAGATATAAATGTTTATACTTTTAATATTTTGGTTAAAATACCTACACAATGAGTTATGATTTCATTGAATTCTAAAAACAAGAAATAGATTAAAGAAGACATATCTTTTATATTTACTTTTTTCCCTTTATGTAAATTCAAGAATAATATTAATTTTTAATGTAGTTGGATTAAGCCATTCTAATATTAACACTGAAAAAGTTCTTATTGTAACTTTAGAAGAAAATGATGAGAGAGGTACAATTAATCCCTCAGGATTAATTATCTAGCCTGCTGAAGAAAATTTAGTAGGCCTATCTTTATCCGTCATTTTAAGATTAATGAAAAACTTTGTCTGCAACTGCTGTTTGTTTTGAAGTTAAGGTCAAGCCTTCATAATACATGTATTTGCATTCATTGAAGACTGGCATTTTATATAACACAAACACAAACTTCATTATTGTTTATATATACATTCAATGTTAGGTTGTTCTTTACTGCCAGTGCCTAATGTAAATATACAAGGATATTATTTACAGGTTTTTGGATATTCAGGAATTATGTTGAAAATTTTAAGAATACAGTTGCTGTTGCTTATTTCTTCATATATTTTTTAATCATTCCATAAGCTGCATCCTTATAATTCCACCCCATGGCGGGGCCCTTGCTGACTGGTCAGTTTTCTAGTTTGAAACTGTCATCTAAAATTCGATCTAATATGTCTGAATTCAAGCCATGCAAATTTCTGTTAGCCATTTAGAAAATCTCTTTGTTTTGATACTTTCCTCATTTTGCCCCAGATTTCACACCTACCATCACTGATTGGTTCAGTATTTTTATAAAACTATTTTCATTGGTCTGTATTTTTGTTACTTTGATTCATACATCTTACTACAGTGCTGAAAATACATGTAGCTTGGAATGTAGCATCATTTGAGGAAACCCCCCAAAACGACCTGAGGTCGCGATTGGCAGCAGCGGTATTGATAAGCCATCACGACTCTGGGTCACGAAAGGGTTAATAAGAATGAATGGATCAAGAGAGATTACTACTGACATTCAAGAATGTTACTCTTGCAAAGTATGGCAAAGAGTGTCATAGAATATCCAGAGCCTTGGGCCCATTATATAAAAGAACTGATGACTTAGACCAAAAACTGCAGCTTATAGTAAAATTGTTAAACTTTTTTAGCTCACCTGAGCTGAAAGCTCAAGTGAGCTTTTCTGATCACCCATTGTCTGTCCATCTGTCTGTAAACTTTTCACATTTTCAACTTCTCAAGAACCACAGGACCAATTTTAACCAAACTTAGTACAAAGCATCCTTGGGTAAAAGAAAGTTTAAATTGTTAAAAGAAAGGGCCAAGTCCCTTTCCAAGGGGAGATAATCAAGAAAATACAAATAGGGTGGGGTCATTAAAAATCTTCTTCTAAAGAACCACTGAACCAGAAAAGCTGAAACTAATGTGGACGCATTCTAGGATAGTGTAGATTCTAAATTGTTCAAATCATGACCCCCTAGGGATAGGGTGGGGCCACAATAGGAAATCAAATTTTACATAGAAATTTATAGGAAAAAACTTTGAAACTCTTCTTCTCTAGAACCACTGGGCCAAAAAAAAAGCTTACACTTATGTGGAAGCATCCTGGGGTAGTGTAGATTTTAAATTATTCAAATCATGACCCCCAGGGATAGGTTGGGGTCACAATAGGGAATCAAATTTTACATAGAAATATATAGGAAAAAACTTTTGAAACTCTTCTTCTCTAGAACCACTTGGCCAAAAAAAGCTGAAACTTAAATGGAAGCATCCTGGAGTGGTGATGATTCTAAATTATTCAAATCATGTCCCCAGGGGGAAGGTCAAGAATGAAGATAGGTATTGCTAGCCAATATGGTTGACAAACAGTTCCACTGCTCTCCAACTTGTTGGTCCACTCCACTTCTCACCAATTTGTTGGTCCACTCAATCCTCTCTAGACTGTTGGTCCACTCCACTCCTCCAATTTGTTGGTTCGCCACCCTCTTCTCAAATTTGTTGCTCTGCTCCACTCCTCTCTAGATTGTTGATCCTCCTCTCCAACTTGTTGGTTTGCCACCCTCTTATCAAATCTGTTCGTCTGCTCCACTCCTCCTCCACTTGCTGGTCCGCTCCACTCCTCTCTAACTTGTTGGTCCGCTCCATTCCTCTCCAACTTGTTGGTCTACTTCACTCCTCTCCAAATTGTTGGTCCGCTCTACTCCTCTCCATCGTGTTGGTCCGCTCCACTCCTCTCCAACTTGTTGGCCCGCTCTGTTCTTCTCCAACTTGTTGGTCCGCTCCACAGTTTTCCAACTTGTTGGTCTGCTCCAATTCCTCTCCAACTTGTTGGTCCGCTCCTCTCCTCTAACATATTGGTCCACTCCTCTTCAACTTGTGAGTCCACTCAACTCCTCTCTAGATTGTTGGACCGCTACTCTCCTCTCCAACTTGTTGGTTCGCTACCCTCATCGTCAATTTGTTGGTCCGCTCCACTCCTCTCTCACTTGTTGATCCGCTCCATTCCTGTCCAACTTGTTGGTCCACTCCACTTTTTCCCAACTTGTTGGTCCGCTCTGTTCTTCTCCAACTTGCTGGTCCACTCCACTCCTCTCTAACTTGTTGGTCCGCTCCATTCCTCTCCAACTTGTTGATCCACTCCGCTCCTCTCCAAATTGTTGGTCCGCTCCACTCCTCTCCATCTTGTTGGTCCGCTCCTCTCCTCTCCAACTTGTTGGCCCGCTCTGTTCTTCTCCAACTTGGTCCGCTCCACACTTTTCCAATTTGTTGGTCTGCTCCACTCCTTCCAACGTTTTGGTCTGCACCATTCCTCTTCAACTTGTTGATCCGCTCCTCTCCAACTTATGGGTCCACTCAACTCCTCTCTAGATTGTTGGACCGCTTGACTCCTTTCTAGATTGTTGGTCCGCTACTCTCCTCTGCAACTTGTTGGTTCGCCACCCTCATCTTCAATTTGTTGGTCCGCTCCACTCCTCTCTCACTTGTTGGTCCGCTCCATTCCTCTCCAACTTGTTGGTCCACTCCACTTTTTTCCAAATTGTTGATCCGCTCCACTCCCCTCCAACTTGTTGGTCTGCTCTGTTCTTCTCCAACTGGCTGGTCCGCTCCACTCCCCTCTAACTTGTTGGTCCGCTCCATTCCTCTCCAACTTGTCGGTCCACTTCACTCCTCTCCAAATTGTTGGTCCGCTCTACTCCTCTCCATCTTGTTGGTCCGCTCCACTCCTCTCCAACTTGTTGGCCTGCTCTGTTCTTCTCCAACTTGTTGGTCCGCTCCACAGTTTTCCAACTTGTTGGTCTGCTCCACTCCTCTCCAACTTTTTGGTGTGCACCACTCCTCCTTAACTTGTTGATCCGCTTTTCTCCTCCAACTTATTGATACGCTCCATGTACTCCTCTCTAGATTTTTAGCTCACCTGAGTCAATGGCTCAAGTGAGCTTTTCTGATCACATTTTGTCCGTCGTCCGTCCGTCTGTCTGTCCGTCTGTAAACTTTTCACATTTTCGACTTCTCAAGAACCACTGGGCCAATTTTGACCAAACTTGGTACAAAGCATCCTTGGGTGAAGGGGAATTTAAATTCTTAAAATGAAGGGCCAAGTCTCCTCACAAGAGGAGATAATCAAGAACCGACAAAAATAGGGTGGGGTCATTAAAAAATCTTTTTCTCAAGAACCACTGGGCCAGAAAAGCTGAAACTTAAGTGGAAGCATCCTTTGGTAGTGTAGATTCTAAATTGTTAAAATCGT